TACTTAGGAGTAGCAGACATCTAACATCCCTAGTTTCTACAGGAAGTGAAGAAAGCGACCCTAAAACTTTTTAAAAAAAACCATTCATACCTGCCCATTAATTTCCGAAATCAAGCCAAGTGGAATCAAGCATTCTGGTTCACTCGCCTGCCCTGCTTCATCCACAAATATGTGTGTGAAATGCCCAAGCCTAGAATAAAAAGAAAACAAAAAGTTTGACAGGTGATTTAGGGTTAGTATATTCTGCCACCCTGTGGTTGACCTCAGCAAATAATTACAAGAATCAAGTCTGTGAGCTATATGCAGTGATATCTTGAACATGAAAGATATTTCAAGACAAGAAAGCTTTAAAATATTACTCTGGAGAAAGCAAAAATGTAGTGAACTTAATCCTCATCTATGACCACACATTTTCATAGAATAATAGGACTGGAAGGGACCTCGAGTGGTCATCGAGTCCAGCCCCCCGCCCTCAAGGCAGGACCAAGCTCCACCTACACCATCCCTGACAGATGTCTGTCTAACCTGTTCTTAAATATCTCCAGAGAGGGAGATTCCACCACCTCCCTTGGCAATTTATTCCAATATTTGACCACCCTGACAGTTAGGAATTTTTTCCTAATGTCCAATCTAAACCTCCCTTGCTGCACTTTAAGCCCATTACTCCTTGTCCTGTCCTCAGTAACCAAGAGGAACAAATTTTCTCCTTCTTCCTTGTGACACCCTTTTAGATATTTGAAAGCCGCTATCATGTCCCCCCTTAATCTTCTTTTTTCCAAACTAAACAAGCCCAGTTCATGAAGCCTGGCTTCATAGGTCATGTTCTCTAAACCTTTAATCATTCTTGTCGCTCTTCTCTGTACCCTTTCCAATTTCTCCACATCTTTCTTGAAATGTGGCGCCCAGAACCGGGACACAGTTCTCCCTAGGGAACCTCCCTAGGGAACTCATTCCAGTGCTTCACCACCCTCCTAGGGAAATAGTTTTTCTTAATATCCAACCTGGACTTCTCCCACCACAACTTGAGACCATTGCTCCTTGTTCTGCCATCTGTCACTACTGATGTTCCTCTCTTCCTAGAAAATCCTTGTTCCTGGAACAACGTCACATACTCATAGAATCATAGAATACTAGGACTGGAAGGGACCTTGAGAGGTCATCGAGTCCAGTCCCCTGCTCTCATGGCAGGACCAAATACTGTCTAGACCATCCCTGACAGATATTTATCTAACCTACTCTGAAATATCTCCAGAGATGGAGATTTCACAACCTCCTTGGGAAATTTGTTCCAGTATTTAACCACCCTGACAATTAGGAACTTTTCCCTAATGTCCAGTACTGACATTGGACTCACCAGTCTGTAATCATAGAATCATAGAACCAGAGAACTGGAAGAGACCTCAGAAGGTCATCAATCCAGCCCACTGCTCTAGGCAGGACCAATCCCAACTTAATCAACCCAGCCAGGGCTTTGTCAAGCTGAGACTTAAACACCTCTAGAGATGGAGACTCCACCACCTCCCTAGGGAACCCATTCCAGTGCTTCACCACCCTCCTAGGGAAATAGTTTTTCTTAATATCCAACCTGGACTTCTCCCACCACAACTTGAGACCATTGCTCCTTGTTCTGCCATCTGTCACTACTGAGAGCAGCCTTTCTCCATCCTCTTTGGAACCTCCCTTCAGGAAGTTTAAGGCTGCTATCAATTCCCCCTCACTCTTCGCTTTGCCAGGTTCACCTCCACAGCCCTTTTTAATTATTGGCGTCTCGTTAGCTATCTTCTCATCATTAGGTACAGAAACGAATGTAAAGGATAGGTTACAAAGGACAGTGACTAGTTTCTCAGCTTCACAGTTGAGTTCTTTAAGAACTCTTGGGTGAATGACATCTGGTCCCAGGGACTTGTTCCTGTTGCGTTTATCTCTCTTAAATGGGCTATGTGTGCCATTAGACCCTGTCTTCTCCGGCCACTTTCAAATTGATCATTGACCATGATGATTTAAAATAACTAAATACCATGAAAAATACCAGTGGACACTGCAGTGGATATCCACCCAATGGAAGCAGAGGACCCCCTATGAATCCAGGTACCCACGAAGAGTAGGGCAGGAAATGACCAAGGTGCAGCAAACAATAGTTTCGCTTTGTGACAGCCACATGCAGGAGACATCGTTCTACCTCCTCTGCTCCATGTCAGATTCCAACACAACTGGTGTGGTGCAATTGAGAAGGACCATGCACTTTTACCCCATCACCCTAACAATTGTCAAGCTGTCCCAGATCTCTAGTCCAAGCAGGCTATGACTGTTAGACATCCACTGGAGCTAGGATGCCCAACAGCCTCACATCTCAGCCCTTTACTGCCCATCCTGACTAAAGCCTGGTGCTTGTAATGTCAGATTCAGCTCTGACTAGAGGCCTTGGCTACAGACCTTCCCCTGACCAAGGCCTTGGTACTAATAACTGTTCACAGGTCGACTCTGGCAACAGCCCTGAGCCCTAGACACTTCACTGCCCACCCTGACTGAGGGCCTGGGTCCCAGAACTGGCTGTTGGATGCTCGGCCCTGGACACAGGCCTGAACCAGCGATTCGTTGGTGCCCTGCCCTGACCAATGGACTGGACTCGTAACTGCTGATTTGTCCTGGTTGCAGGACAAAGACCCTGATTGGCTGCAGCTCTGCATGGCCGGCCAGGGCCACGGGCTGTGGTTGCCAGGTAACTCCCTTACTGGGGTGATGACCAGAGATGTAGAGAGGTGGGGCAGCCTCCCTCTGACCCAGAGTGTGGGGCTCCCCCACTAATCTACTTCCAGAAACCATAAGGGGTGCTGGTGTGAGGAATGTGGAATCTGCAAACACAATGAAAGATCTGATGGGAAAGTGGGGAAAGACGGAGGATTGAGGAGATTCAACCTGTATGTTGCTAGTTACTGGTGACGACTGCAGATCTCTGACCCGTTTATGACAGCCACGACTCACTGCAGGAAGTGTTCATCTCTCGTTTTGGACAATGTCTCCAGGTCTCTAAATCAACACTGATTGTAAAATACACACAAGTACACAGAGCAGCCAATTCCTCTCGGACTCAGCAGGGAGCCTGAATCTTCTCATCTCCCTCTGGGAATATCCCTTAATTACTGTTTACTGATACACCTGAGCACGGAGACGCGGAAATGGAAACAGACGTTGGCTAGAGAGTTTCCAGTGTCCAGCCTGCTTACATCCAGATGATGCTTCACCTCTAGGTGCTTAGTGATGCCCCCAGGGGATGGCACAGAGCTGCCTTATAAACAGTGCCCACCCCTGCCTCGGCTCTGAGCATGGAGACTGCTGTTGATGGTGTGGTGGTAGAGGTGAGGGGCATTCATTTCGATTTTCTATTATCCTCTCCTGTCTCATATTCCCCTTGTTTGTCTCCTTCCTAAACTTAATAGTCCCTGACTTTTCAGTCTGTCCCCAAAGGGCAGCCTCCCACATTTCTTGTAGCCTGTCTTAGCAGCCGCCTTTACATCAGCTGTGTCCTTTCCAAAGACTGAGTGACAAAAACTGAGCACATGTCCTGAGTAAGTTCTTCTCCATGCCATTCCTTGGCATCCTAAGATTGTCCTGGCTTTGGCCATGGCTGTGCCTGAGCAGGTATTTCTGTGCAGTTGCTAGCTATGATCCCCAGGGCTTTTCACTGCGGTCTGTGCCAATGGGGGTGGCTCCTTCTGGCACATGTTTTGAAAAGGTTTGAATTTTTTCCCATTCCCAAATTTTGAGCAACCAGCTGAACGAGGATTCCTTACTGCACAGAAGCTCTAGCCTGACTTTCAATGAATTAAGGAACAGAGATGGGTAACATGTGTCCCAACTCATTCTTCCTGCTATTGCTTATTTAAAAGTCTCCAAGGGTAAGCCATTGTTAGTCTGTAACTTTAAAAAGAGTGCATAGTCCTGTGGCTCCTTACAGACTTAAGTATCATGAGTTTTCATGGGCAAAACCCACTTCATCACACGATGAGCTGGAGAGGAATAATAAAATATCCAGTATTTTACAGCAGAAATAAAAACCCAGTCAATTGCAGGACCGGTGCTAACGAGGCTAATGAAGCAGGCTGAAAGTGTCCCATACTTAGCTATTGATGTAAAAATAAGGTCTTAAAGGCAGGGGAGGCTGGCTATGTAATGTGACATCCAGTTAATGTCTTTGTTCAAGCCCAGGAATACAGTGTCATATTTGCAGGTAAAGGTCAGTTCTGCATTCTCCCTTAAACTGGCTGATGAAATTCCTTTGTAGAAGAATGGCTCCTTTTCAATCCATGAGTGAGTGCCCAGGCAGGTTAAAATGTTCCCTTTGCAGGTTTCTGTGTGTTCCCATTTCTGATGTCTGACTTGTGTCCATTTATCCTTTGTCTCAGAGACTGTCCCATTTGGCTCACATCCATGGCAGAGGGGCATTGCTGGCACTTGACGACATAGATCACATTCGAGGGTTTGCAATTGTATGAGCCTCTGATGTGGTGGCTTATGTGGTTAGGGCCTGTCATGGTGTCATTTGCATTGATGCGTGGACAGAGTTGGCAGTGGGGTTTGTTGCAGACAGAGGTTCTTCAGTGAGTGTGTCTGTGGTGTGATGTGTGGCTGTTGGAAAGAATTTACTTCAGGTTGGGGGGAAGGATTGGCCTGACTCCCAAGGCCTGTGAGAGTGAGGGATTGTTTTCAAGGATAGATCATAGGTTGTCAGTGACGTGCTGGAGGTGTTTTAGCTGGGGTCGGTAGGTGATAAAAGGTAGTGTTCTGTTATTTTCCTTGTTTTGCCTGTCTTGAAGAAGTAGATTCCTTCTTACTCGTTTGGCTCTGTCAGTCTGTTTCTGCACTTCCTTGGGTGGATATTTCATTTTTAAGAATGCCTGATAAAGATCCTGTAGATGTTTGACTCTGTCTGTGGGAATGGAACAAATCCGGTTGTATCTTAGGTCTTGGCTGTAAACAGTTGATGGTGTGATGTGTCCTGGATGGAGGCTGGAGGTATGTAGGTAAATAGTGGTCAGTAGGGGTATGTCTACACTACCCCACTAGTTCGAACTAGCGGGGTAATGTATGCATACCGCACTTGCTAATGAAGCCCGGGATTTGAATTTCCCGGGCTTCATTAGCATAAGCAGGGAGCCACCATTTTTAAATCCCGGCTGCTTCGAACCCCGTATATACCTCTATATACATTAGATTATATAGGCAACAGATGGGTGGAGGAGAAGTGATTTAAAAAGATGTGATGACTATTGTGTATTTCCTAGAACTGGAAGGGACCTTTTAAGTCCAGTCTCCTGCCTTCACATCAGGACCCTCCCTGACAAGTTTTTGATCCTGCAAGGATTGAACTCACATCCTTCAATTTAGCAGGCTAATGCTCAAACCACTGAGCTATCCCTCCCTCCCAACCATTGTGTTCTACTTTGGTAGGTCTAGTGGTGGAAACATTATGTGCACATAAGCCAATGGACTACAAGGTTACACAGGATCCCCGCCCATTGCCAAACATGTTATCACTAATGCAGGTAGTTATTTCTAACAAGCTAAATGAGCCAACATACACAAAATGGACATGTTGATGGTAACTTGTTTTGCTGAAATTGTGATGTGTCTACTGTGAGATGACTACTTCCTTGCGTTGGCAGAGTCCTTGGGATCCAGGTTTATTTATCTGAAATTATAGGAGACAGTGAGAGAAACCACGGTACCAGCCAGGCCTTATCAGAGGGCCTGATGGAATGTGGTTGCCAGGGGAACCAGGGTCACGGTAGCTACTGTCTGTGTGCTTCTCACGCCTGGCCTGAAAGATTTAGGATTTGAGTTCTCAGTTCTCAGCAAGATACCATGGACTGCCTCAGTTTACCCCTATACCCTTTGTCACATAACACCTCATATACACACACCCAGGAACCTACCCCTGCAATAAACCTCTCTGTCAACTCTGTCCACATGTTTAGATACACAACATCATCAAAGGCCCTAACCACATCAGTCACCACATCAGGGGCTCATACAACTGCACATCCTCTAATGTGATCTGTGCCATTAAGTACCAGCAATGCCCCTCTGCCATGGATATTGGCCTGACCGGACAGTCTCTGCGACAAAGGATAAGTGGCCAAAAATCAGACATCAGAAATGGTAAAACACATAGACCTGAAGTGGAACATTTCACCTTGCCTGGGCACTCAATCAGGAGCCAAAAAGAGCCATTCTTCTACAAAGGAATTTTACCCGACAGTTACAAGGAGAGTGCAGAATTAACCATTATCTGCAAATTCAAGACTGTATCCCTGGGCTTGACCAAAGACATTGACTGGATATCACATAAGGCAAGACTTCTCTATCTTTAACACCTTTTTTTTTTACATCAACAGCTAAGTATTGGACACATCCAGCTCACTTAATTAGCCTCATTAGCACCGGTCCTGCAATTGACAAGTACCTTTTTTTCTGTTATGAAATACTTGTTTTCTGTTATTCCTCTCCAGCTCATCAACTGATAAAGTGGGTTATGCCTCCAAAAGCTCATAATACTATATATTTGTGTTGCTCACTAAGGTGCCACAGGACTACTTATTGTGCCTATTAAAGTTTTCCAGATTTTTCATTAATAATTTTCCTAATAATGAAAATGTTACATTTCAGTGTGTGAAGAGACCAATCTGTTTCAGCCATGACAATAGCTATCAATGGTGCATGTTGTGTCTTCTATGACTGTTGTATCTTCTTCCAGGTATTTGTCCTGTGACCATCATCCTAGACCCCAAGCACAGAAGAAGAAATCAGGAGAACGTATGGTACATGCAGGAGACACCGTTCTGCCTGGGATTTGGACACCTCCCCTGCTCCATGTCAGATTCCAATACCACCGACTTCACCAACCCCTCCACCTTCATCCTGCTTGGCTTACCTGGCCTGGAGACAGCCCATGTCTGGATCGCCATCCCCTTCTGCATTATGTACATTATAGCCATCCTGGGGAACTTAACCATCCTGTTCATAGTGAAGATGGAGTCGAGCCTCCATGAACCCATGTACTATTTTGTCTGCATGTTGGCTGTAAGTGACCTGGTCCTGTCTACATCCATCCTGCCCAAAATGCTGAGCATCTTCTGGTTCAATTGCAGGGAAATCAATTTCAGTGCTTGCCTCACTCAGCTCTATGTCTTTCACTGTTTCTCAGTGATGGAGTCTGGGATTTTCGTGTCTATGGCATTGGATCGCTATGTGGCCATCTGCCATCCCCTGAGACATTCCACCATTGTGACAAACCCAGTGGTGGGCAAGATTGGTCTGGCCATGTCATTGCGCAGCAGCGTGATTGTACTGCCCATGGTCCTGCTGGCGAGGCAGTGGTCATACTGCAGGACCAACATCATCCCCCAACCGTACTGTGTCCACATCGCTGTGGTGAAGGTGGCCTGTGGTGACACCCGTGCCAGTAGTTACTATGGCCTCTTTGTGCTATTCTGTGTGTTGGGGCTGGATGTGATTTTTATTGTTGCATCCTACACCCAGATCCTCAGGGCCATCTTCAACCTCCCCACAAAGGACGCCCGGCTCAAAACCTTTGGGACCTGCATCTCCCACCTCTGTTCCATTATAGTGTTTTACATCCCAGGGCTCTTCCTCTCCCTCACGTCCCGATTTGACCAGAAGATGCCTCAGCATTTCCATTCTCTCATTAACAACGTGTACTACTTGATGCCTGCCATGCTTAACCCCATCATCTATGGGATGAGGACCAAGCAGATCCGGGACAGGTTGCTGCACCTTTTTTTTCAAAAAGGCACCTGAGCAGGCCTCTACAATGTCTGTGCAGAGCTGGCTGGTGACATGGTGCTGGGCCCTCTTCCCTGAATCACTTACTGGGCCGTCAGAGAGTCATTACATCCTGTCCTGTTCTTATTTTGCTCTGTCAGTGACTGAAACTGGTGAATTGTTCTGAGCAAAACCCATCAATTCATAGAGTTCGTCACCTCACTAACTTCTGGTAATAGGATCCTTGAGACCTCCGTTTCTATTACCTCAAAGAAAAGCCCCCTGCCCCACTTTCTCCCCCAAATTTCTACCTCCTTACCCATTACATCCCTCAAGTCTCCACTTCTGTTCTGAAATTTCCCCCCATATCCCCAGCTCTCTCACTCACCTCTCTCCTCCCCATCTTCTATCCCTCACTGGACCAGCCTCACCGCTCTTTTCACCAGATGGGCTCCCTCCGCCCCAGGTCTGTCACGGGAGCTGCTACAGACTGACAAGGAGCCTGCTGTGAGGATGTGGCTCTGGGCCCAGCAGGCCTGGCAGGAGTGGGGAGGAAGACAGTGTAATTTGTCTCCTAATGGCATTGGAGTGGGGCTGGCTTTGCTAACAAGCACTGTGTGTGGTATAACAGAGGTTGTGGCTTTGGTGCATCTTGTTCACTGGCCCATGTGAAGGCTGCAGTATTCTAGTTTGAATGGCATTGTCTGACTGGTTTGCAGCCTTTCAGTCTCATTACCGATAATCGTACTGTGCCTGGTCAACTGGAGGCAAAAATTCCTTCGCTGAGGTGCGTTCGCTTGCTGCGCTCTCTTGTTTGCCTTGAACTTTTCAAGCACCTCTCCATCACTGGTTGGGTGGTGATGATGATGATTATTATTCATGTAAGCAGGGTCTGAACCACTGCTTCCAATGCAGCCAGCTGAAAGGGGAGAGCAGTCCTAGGTGAGGTTATGCTTGTTCAGTTATTTAGCCCTTTAAGATATTCGACTATTGATATGGGAATACAGCTCATGCTGGAATGGGAAAGGAATCCAGGGTGTGATTATGTACATCCAGTTCAGCCAATGCTATAGCCCTGATGGATGGTCAAATATTGGAATGGAATGTGGTGTATTGTAACTACTTTGGCTGTTGTGGGGTCACAAACCACGTTAACCCTAAATGTAGGAATTGTAAAATATGACACCCATGCTTGCAGGAGAGAAACTGTCGCTGTAGAGTCTAGGATGAACAAGCCTCCCCCTTCCAGACTCAAGTGGATTTGCAGGGGGAAGGCGCTTGAATCAATGAGCTACGTGCCCTCCAGACATGAGCTGTAAGACTGGTTCAACTTGTTTCCTCCTGCCCCACCCCTGGCTCCCTTCTAAGGATAGACTTAAACAGACTCCATAAGGAGTTTCTTTATTATTTTGAAATAGTATTCCAGTGGGAGCCGGAATCTTTTGGCCAGCCTAGGTGGTGGCCAAGAGCTGAAATTGCTGGGAAACTGACAAAGATAGACCCATCGCGGAAGCAGCAGCAGGGGGCCAGCAGGATGGCTGTCAGGAACAA